CCCCAAAACCCCAAAACCCCAAAACCCCAAAACCCCTTATCCATCGTGAATAATTGATTTATATTTCTATAATTTCATGGCTCCTATCCTCCCCAGCTTCGGAGTTGGCATGAGTGGTAAATCTTAGGTGTGATTGAACACTTGAGGTCTCGAGCCCCTGAAATTATGGAGAGTTAGATACCACAATCAGCCTCCATTTGTTTGACTAGGCTATCAAGAATCTTCATCTTCTCATTCAGGTTCAGCCTAGCAAGGATTTCAGCCTGGTTCTGGGCTTTTGGCTGCTCTAGAGCAGGAGTCGTTGAAAATGGAATCTGCTTGTAAGATTTAGCACTAAAAAAAACTGATCAAACACTGTACAAAAGCTAAAAAAAATAGCACAGAACGCCAAAAGAACCAAAGAGCATTAGCCTCAGCCTTAAAGAACTAAGAGTATACTTAATCCTCCCTCTAATCCCCAACCCTCACAAACGTTCTCTACTTCTCTTCCCAGTCGCTAGCTCCAACCCCCCTCAGGACCTACTTCTTCGCGATCAGTCTGATGTCCTCCTCATTCATGATCCTCTTCTCTTCCTTCCTCGGCTGGTCGGCAATTTTGTTCCTGATCTTAGAAATCAACTGGGTGGGTGCCTAAAAATTTAGCACTTGAAGAAGAAAGTAGAAATTTCAAGAAGAAAATTTAGCTGGGAGATTGGAATTTTAGTTGGGAAAAGTAGCGTACTTGTTCAGAGAGAATTAAGTCAGTGTTCATGCTGTGGGAAGGTGCCTGCTTGTCCGAACAACTAGGGATCTCTGCGAGTAAATCTAGATTTTTAGAAGAGAAACTGACTTGCGGCACTCTTGGAGGACTCGAAGGGGTGGAGATCTAGAGTGAGGAGGGAGATTACTTGTGGTAGCTGTGCTAGTGATGTAGTCGATCCGGGTACGCTCGAGAGGGTCAATAGGCTGCAGAGGGACTGGTGAGGGCTTTTGAGGTGGTTTTGGGGCTAGAGAGATGAAAGAAAGGGGTACACATAGGCTTTTTGGCGAAAGTTAAGTGACTTTTGCACTGCTGATTGAATAGTTTGTGGATTCGTCTTGGGAATAATGTGTTAAGCTTGTGATTGGCTAAGGGTTAGGAGGGAAATATACGTTTCTTATGGATTTTTGGGACTGATTCGGAGATGATGATTCTTTGGTAGCTCTGGTTTTCTCCTCTATCAGTTATTGAGCCTGTTGGACCAGACTCTGAAGGAGCTAGGTCATGAGTGATCATTTTTGAGACAATATCAATATCTTCATTCTCGGTTTTCTGATCAGTGGTATCATCTTTCTCGGTTAGAATAACAGTACGAGAAATATTGGGAAACTTCAAAGAGTCAATATTATCATTTTCCTTATGAAAAGAATCCTTCGGAGTTCTATTATCAATCGTAATATTAAATTCATTGGGTGTTTGATAGATGTTCTTCATGACAGTTTCAACATCATCAGCGCTGAATGCATGCTGAACCTCAGTCTAAAGTATCAATTTGCTCATACCTGGTTGTTTCTGCTATTAGTCCTTGGTACAAAGTACCGAGTAGGTGGTAGGAAGGTTGCTCATTGCATGTTCTATTAATGTAACCTATCGACTACTTACAGAATCAGGATCAATCTTGAGATCCTCAAATTTAGAAGTAGGTTTCTTCTTTATCCCCTCAGTGTTGTTATATTCATCAATAAAATTCCTGTATTTTGTAGTGGAGTTCTGCTTTTTCATAACTATGTTATCAGAAGGCTACCTTACTCTCAAGTCTTCTGCGGTACAGATTGGCGAACTTGTTCGCCTTCTTTTTATGTATTTTCATTTTTGGGAGGTCTATAGTCTCCATTGAATAAATTTTATAACAATTTAATTAATTCTTAGAGGGGTTTTGGGGTTTTGGGGTTTTGGGGTTTTGGGG